CCTAAGAAATCCTTAAATGAGCTCTATAATATGACTTGAACACGTATTTTCTTTTCTAGTTTTGTAGGTTATTTCATATCTACCAGTAGTGCCTGGTTTTCAGTCTGACTTTAATATTCTCACGTTTTTTGTGTGTGTGTTTTTAATGGTCCTATAAGTGATACGTATATTTAGCCAGGAATATTCAGATTTCTCTACTAGGTATCTGAAAGATATTATTCTACCAAACTGTGTGTCCCCAGCACAGTAATACTTAAGGAGGTTCAAAGCATGGGCTTTAACATCATACAGACTTAAGGTCAAATTCTGGTTATGATACTTGTTAACTTTGTCATCTTGGATGTGCAACACTATCTGAATCCTATTTTCTCCATATGTAAAAGGGGGGAAATAATTCCTACAGGGATGTTTGGGGTTTAAATGAGATGATGTATGTAAAGTGTTTAGCCCTCTGCCTGGCAAATAAGTAGTAGAGGTTGTTAACAGTAGTAAAAAAGTTACAATTATTGCTGCCCAGGGAAAAGAAGAGTCTAAAGGTCCTGTAGAAAATTAGCTGGGTGTGCTGGTGTGTGCCTGTAGTCCCCAGTTACTCGAGGAGCTGAGGCATGAGAATCGCTTGAACCTGGGAGGCGGAGGTTGCAGCGAACTGAGATTGCACCGCTGCACTTCAGCATGGGCAACAGAGTGAGACTGTCTTAAAACAAAACAAAACAAAACAGGTCCTGAAGGATTTGACAATTGGGATTCCTGACTTTTTTGAGGAAAGGATTAGTAACATGATGGAGAATGAATCAGTGCAGGCAGAAATTATAGACTCGATGAATTATTATGTGACTGTTTAGTGCCTGTCTTTCCTAATAGAATTCCATAAGGGCAGGGCTTTTTCCCTCTAGCATCCCTAGTTTCTGGTATGGTGCTTGGCATACAGTCAGCCCTTAAAAATACTCTTTGAATAGAGAGAGACAAAGAAGAAACTGCGACTTTATGTGAGAGAGGGAGGACATAGATTTAAGAGACAGTTATGGTGTTAGTAAATAATTTAGATGTTAGTAAATAATCTTTAGAGTTCTAATTTTGGATGCCTCTAGAACACTGATGGTATTCTCCAGGAGATTTTGTGAACTGAAGGCAGCTGAGCTGGGCTAGAGGCTAATGCTGCAGTTTGGGGCTAGAAACCCCAGTCAATTGAGCTAGGAATTTGTGAGCTCCAACTCTGGAAACACATCTCAGTTTTTTCCCGTCCTTGTTTTTATTTTCCTGAAGATCCTTGGGATGGTCTTGGCTCTCTACTACCACCTCCTATTGCTTCCAAACCTTTGAGGTCACAGTGAACTGTGATCATGCCACTGCACTCCACACCCTGTCTTAAAAAACAGAACAAAAAGGCTGAGTACGGTGGCCCATGCCTGTAATCCTGGCACTTTGGGAGGCCGAGGCGGAGGTCGCAGTGAGCTGAGATCATGCCACTGCACTCCATCGTGGGAGACAGAGTAAGGCTCCATCTCTAAAAAAAAAAAAAAAATCAAAAAACAAAACAAAACAATAAAACAAAAACTCCATCAACTCATCTTGTTGAACTTAGAGAAAGTGGTGGGAATAAAAAATTAGAAAATTGGCTGGGCTTGATGGCTTCCACCTGTAATCCTAGCACTTTGGGAGGCCAAGGCAGGAGATCACTGAAGGACAGGAGTTGGAGGGCAGGTTGGGCAGCATAGTGAGACCCTGTCTCTACAAAAAAAATACAAAAATTAGCTGGGCTTTGTGGCATGTGCCTATAGTCCCAGCTACTGAGGAGGCTGAGGCAGGAGGATCACTAGAGCCCTGGAGGTTGAGGCTGCAGTGAGCCATGATCATGCTACTGTATTCCAGTCTGGGCAACAGAACAGGTCTCAAAAACAGACAAAAAACCCAAAAAGCAGACAAACAAAATAATTTGAAAATGGAAAGACAAAAATACCTACTTTTAGAATATAGTTAGCCGTTCAGTTTTTTTGTTTGTTTTTGTTTGTTTGTTTGTTTTGGATATAAGCTCTTACTCTTTCACACAGCCTGGAGTGCAGTGGCATGATCTTGGCTCACTGCAACCTCTGTCTCCCCAGTTCAAGTGATTCTCCTGCCTCTGCCTCCCTGGTAGCTGGGATTACAGACTCCTACCACCATGCCCAGCTAATTTGGTGTTTTTAGTAGAGACAAGGTTCATCATGTTGGCGAGGCTGATCTTGAACTCCTGACCTCAGAAGATCCACCTGCCTTGGCCTCCCAAAGTGCTGGGGATTATAGACTTGAGCCGCCACACCGGGCTTCACAGTTCCCCACCCTCCCCGGCTTCCCTACTCAGAGTCTCACTCTGTCTTGAAGGTTGGAGTGTGCAGTGGTGCCATCTCGGCTCACTGCAACCTCCACCTCCAGGGTTCTAGCAATTCTCTTACCTCAGCCTCCCAAATAGCTGGGATTATGTGTCCCCTACCACGCCCGGCTAATTTTTATGTATTTGTACATAGAGATGGGGTTTCACCGTGTTAGCCAGGCTGGTTTCGAACTCCTGACCCTAGGTGATTCCCCCACCTTGGCCTCCCAAAGTGTTGAGATTACAGGCATGAGCCACCACACCCCTGACCCTCAGTTTTATTAGTAAATTCTTTTTTTTTTTTTTTGAGATGGAGTCTTGCTCTGTCGCCCAGGCTAGAGTGCAGTGGCACAGTATCTGCTCACTGCAACCTCTGCCTCCCTGATGTGATTCTCCTGCCTCAGTCTCCTAAGTAGCTGGGATTACAGGCGCCTGCCATGGCACCCAGCTAATTTTTGTATTTTCTAGTAGAGATCGGTTTTCACCCTGTTGGTCAGGCTGGTCTTGAACTCCTTACCTCATGATCCTCTCACCTCTGCCTCTTAAAGTGCTGGGATTACAGGCATGAGCCACACTCGGCTTTTTTTTTTTTTTTTTTTTTGAGACAGACTCTTTGTCTCCCAGGCTGGAGTGTAGTGGCAGGATCTCAGCTCACTGTAACCTCCGCCTCCTGGGTTCAAGCAATTCTCCTGCCTCAGCCTCCTAGGTAGCTGGGATTACAGGCATGTGCCACCATGCCCAGCTAATTTTTTTGTATTTTTGTTAGAGATGGGGTTTGGCCATGTTGGCCAGGCTGGTCTCAAACCCCTATCTTGTGATCTGCTCACCTCGGCCTCCCAAAGTGCTGGGATTACAGGCATGAGCCACCACGCCCGGCCTTTTTTAAAAAAAAATTGAGATGGATTCACAATCTGTTGCCCAGGTTGGAGTGCGGCAGCAGAATCTCAGCTCAGCAACCTCTACTGCCTGGTTTCACGTGATTCTTGTGCCTCAGCCTCCCGAGTAGCTGGAATTTACAGGGGTGCACCACCATGCCCAGCTAATTTTTTTGTATTTTTAGTAGAGACGGGGTTTCGCCATGTTGGCCAGGCTGGTCTCGAACTCCTGACCTCAGGTGATCTGCCCGCCTCGGCCTCCCAAAGTGCTGAGATTACAGGTGTGAGCCACCATGCCCAAATTCTTTTTTAAAAAATATTAAAGAATTTAACACAATTCTTTCTCTTTATCTCTCTTTCTTTCTTTTTTTTTTTTTTTTTTTTTGAGACCGAGTTTTACTCGGTCACCCAGGCTGGAGTGCAGTGGCGCCATATGGGCTCATTGCAACCTCCACCCCTCGGGTTCAAACGATTCTCATGCCTCTGCCTCCACGTAGCTGGGATGACAGGTGTGCACCACCACACTCAGTTTATATTTTTGCATTTTTTGCAAAGACTGGGTTTCACCATGTTGCGCAGCCTGGTCTCAAATTCCTGATCTCAAGTCATCCGCGCGCCTTGACCTAAAGTGCTGGGATTACAGGAGTGAGCCACGGCAACCAGCCAACACAATTCTTTAATGGAAATATTTTCATTTTTATCTAGAGAACTGTAGAGGGTGCTATTTCATTAGAAATAGCACTGAACCGGCTTTAACTAATTGTAAGAATTCTCTGAAGCCAGAGCTTCACAGTAGTTAATTTTTCTTGTGTGAAGTTTTTTTTTTTTTTTTTTTTTTACTATTTTGACCGAAATTAGAGTGACTGATGTTGCATAATTGATATAATTTATAATGAATGTTGATCTAATATAATCGATTATAACATTTTTCATTTTCTAGATTATTTGATATAGTTGAAATTATGACTTGCCTTCATACAACGGTTTGAATAATAAAGGTTTATTTTCCTGCCATCTATCTCCAACCCCCTTTCCCAAATTTAGTATTTGTAAGTCTTAATAGTTTAAAAGTACAGAAATGTACATTTTATGTAGATCTGGTTCAGAAGATTATTATCTGTAGAAGAATGATTGTTAAACCAAAATGGTATTTAAAAACTTGGGGACAAACTTTAAAAATTGTTTTTGTTAAGTTAGAAGTCTGGATTTTTTGAGTGATTAATTTATTATTCAGAAATATGTTCCATAAATTCCAAACTTAAACTGTTTTCAAATTTTTTCTGGCTTGATAGTGATTTTAGAAAACTTAAGGTGGAGTTATTTGATCCTCTGAATTAAAGGATTGCTTTTGAAAACTGATTTTTAGTAACTTGGATTAAATTTCTCCTGTCCTGCAGAATTTTCAAATTATTTGAACTAGGTCAAGTTAGTCCAAGTGGTATATTTTGGAATAAAAGGTGATAATAAGTCAGCTAAATGTTTAAAAAAGTACAGAAAAGTTAGATAAGTATCTGTTTTTTAAAAATGCAAGTTTTTAAAAACCTTTAAAGTATTCTGACTCAAACCTTGCCAGGATTTTTTTTTTTTTTTTTTCTGAAACCATATTTGAAACATTTATTATCAAGTTTTATACTATAGTTCTTTAAAAAGTTAAACAAGAATTTGTCACTCTTGCTCCCAAAAATGCAAGCATTTTCTGTTCTTGTGGGTTAAAATATTGCTATTATTCAAGCTTTCTCATTAAATAAGTGTATCTGTTTTTGTTTTTAACTCTCAAGGCACCACCTTCCATGGTCAATAATGAACAACGCCAGCATGCAGAGCACATATTCTTATCATTTAGGAAATCAAAATCACCATTTGCAGTTTGCAAGCATATTTTGGGTAAGTATTCACTTAAAAAATATGAAGTATTTTGGCATAATCAGATCTGGGTTTGCTGTCTTAAATATTATTTAAATTACTTTTTAAAAATCAGGTTTATACAGTTATAATTTTTAAATTAATAATCATTCTACTGGAGTGGCTTTAAAGATATTCTGTAAAGCCAGGCAGGAAACTTTGTTTTCACATTGCATTTTTTCCCTCCTAGAGATAGTGTTCTGTAATTTGTTTTATTATTGACCATAACATGAAGGCTGTTAATAGTAGAGAAAAAAATGTAATTTTTCAATTATTTTCAAATGTCAATTATTACAGGATATGTACTATAATATCTTTTAGCCCAGTGTTAGTTTTAAAATTAAGATTGTTTTTGGAGTTTTCTACATTTCCTTTTAGTTGTTTTCCATAGTTTTTTTTTTGTTTTTGTTTTTTAACCATTTAGTTTGTACTCAGCTTGCTTAATGAATATTAGTCATGTCTGGATAGGGTATTGCTGTATATATCCTAAAATAAAACACCAATTTTTACTTTTGTCAAATATGTTTTATAAGTATCTTCTGTCTGACATGTACAGAAAAGATTTCCTCTAAAACAATTGCAAGAAATATAACTCTCTTATCCAAAGATGGCATTTTCTAAGAGTTATATATGATGTTGCCATCTGTCTCTTAGGTATTTTTCAGTAACAGAGAGACTTCATTGGTTATTGTTGTTTTATAACCTGATTACTGTTGGCTGATTTTTTTTTTTAGTGGGAGCCATCTTTTGTAAGGCTCTGGAAGGCTACTTGAGTCATCTGTGACCATAAAATTGGTTAGTTGAGTATTAGGAACTAAAACATCTGACCTTTTATTCTTGTGCTTTTAGTAAGGCTTATCAATAGCTACCAGTAGGCTAGTTTCCAGATTGAAATAAACTACAACTGAAGTTATGTGTTAAAAATGTTTTACATATAAGGGCTTATGAAAGAAAGTTGTTTGATTGTAGTGGACAGAGTGATGCTGTAGCATCTATGACATCTAGGTGCCAGTGGTGCACCTTGAGGAAGTCACTTCACCTCTCTGGGCCTCTTTTGCATCTGCCTTATGGCAATAATGATACCGTTTGTCTTAATGGATTTGCTATCTGAAGTTGTTTCATGAGGTAAAAATATAATTACTTTTCATTATGTAAAAGCACTATGTGAACAGTAAGGTAAAAGTCATGGCCATATACTTGATTTTAAACAGCTTTCAAAAAATGTAATTGGCTTAAGAAATGATGTGTTCTCTGTTTGCAAGGGATTAGCAGCAGTGGTGAAGGTGGCTCTGGTCTCATTCAAGAGTTAGGTCTTAGCAGAGGAACAGGTTCAACAACTACCTTTTAAATACTCCCTGAAGCCATTTTAATTAATGAATTCACTTATTTCAGTGGTCAGCTTTTATAGTTGGATGGATTTGTTTCTGGCACTAAGAAGATTTATCTTATACCTGTGCAGGATATTTAAGTCAATGTTAAATGAAGCAAAACTAAACAGCATAAAGAGTTTAAGGGGGCATTAACTCATCCTTACTGCCTTGAAATTGTTCAGGATTAATAGATTTAGAAAACCATCCTGTTAAACTATTAACCTAAAATAATTTGAGTCTGGTTTTCATGGCATATGCCTTAATGACATTGACTAGGATTCCATCAGTGTTTCATCTGACTTTGTATTGGAATTCAGTGTCATTCATTCTACACTAGTTGGGAAATAGTTGATCTAAGTTATACGTATTTTATTAGAGCGTATTTGTTTATACCACCTTCCTTTTTAGAATATGTAAATTTTATGAAGTATTGTTGCGTTGTTATGATTGAGCTTGTTTTGGAATACTTTTGTTTTCCTGATAAAATTTTTCAAAGAGTAGTATTGCTAGTTCCGGCCATGCTTTTAAAATCAGTTTGGGTTTTGAGACTTGACTATTTAAAAGGTGGAGTGCATGTATTACAAGCATAATCATTAATGTACTGCAAAGCCCTGTGTTACATTAATGTTTACATCTAAACTTCACGGAAAATCTTTTCACTCCTTATTCAGTTGCCACCAGCACAGAAGGGTAAATTCCTCTAAGAAGACTTCTCATACAAGTGGCAGTCAATCGCAGTTCAGAATTTTCACATTCTTGTTTAGGGACTATGTGATCATTTTTATAGAAGGTCTGGGTAGTATATTCTACTAAAGGGGAGACTTTCTCTTTGATGCTTCCCTTTTCTAGCCTCTTAAAATTCTTCCTTCTCAACTTCTGACTTCAGTTTTATATGTTGCTAATTTTTCCTCATTTCTCTCTCTTCTTATCCTTTTGTTTTTATTCTAGTTTTTATGTTCTTTGCCCTTTTCTGTGTTTGTGTGTGTGGTGGATCTATCTGTGCGTGCATGCGGCATGCTTGCGCATTTTGTCAGAAGAGCACTTTTAGACTTCTTCACTTCAGAAGTCTTTGGCACTTAGGAATTTATATTTTTTTAGGGTCAGATGTTCCTTTAAAAAAACCAATGAGTTCTATTCTTGTTAAAGACATAATCAAGAACAGCGAATAATTGGTTTACTTCTTCTGGAGCTAACTTGGTGACATCCTTGTGCTCCTTTCTCAGGGAGAAATGGATTTCTTTGACTTCTGATTTCAGAAGTAGCCAAAACAAAATAATAAGCTACCGAAAAGTCAGTTAGACTAGAAAAGTTTTACATCTCTGGAAGACTGTTTCCTTAGCGCTGTCAGTCATGGGGAATTAGTAAATCATCTTCCATCTGGACTTTTTGTCATTAGCATGTGGGCATAGGTATCACTGAGTCAAAGAGCAGATTTTTGGAGCTTATATTGCCTGTGCTTTGGACAGAAATCTTTAAGGCCAGAGAGTTGATTGTAGTAGTTGTATATCTGTAGCTTCACTACTGGGGTTTTGTTTTCTTTTTTCAAAAACTTTTTGGTCAAAATGTGGTGCTTTTCCTCTATTATTAACTTTAACTTTTGTCTTCATGTTTCTGTCTAGTTTCAGATGGCTGACAAAATGCAAATGAATTTTATTTATGTAATTGTTATTCAAGAAAATTACTGTGGTAGCAAATGAAAACATTCTTCCGAAGTCACCTAAAGTAATTTAGTCTCTGGACAGTGTCCTAGTCAGTGGCAGATCTTCCTGAAAGTAGTTAGTTTAGAAATTCTTGATGAGGCTGGGAGCAGTGTTACATGCCTGTAATCCCAACACTTTGGGAGGCTGAAGCAGGAGAATTGCTTGAAGTGGGAGGTGAGGGTTTTGGTGAGCCGAGATCGTGCCATTGCACTCCAGGCTGGGCAACAAGAATGAAACTCCATCTCAAAAAAAGAAAAGAAAAGAAAAAAAATTTTAGATGAATTGTGAGTTCCTGTGGTTCCAAACATCTTTATAACAGAGTAAAAATAAAACTCATATGTATTTGTGAAGTTCTAATTTCATACTGGTAGGCTTCTAGAGTCCCTTCTAGCATCTCTTGCATACTTCTACTATGTATAAGTTAAATTTGCGACAGCTAATAATGGTTTTTATGAGAAAGGGTAATTTATTAGCTTAAGAAAATTTCTTCTTTTAAATTAGGAATTTGGCCTTTTTTTCTTTTTATTTCTTCACTCTTAGAGTTAGCTTCTTACGGGAGTAGTCATTTAGAGATCTTCATTTAATACCACCTGCAGAGGTATCTAAGAAAGAGTTAAGAAACTTTTGTCTCTTGAAAACTTCTGAGTGTTCATCTTCACATCTTCCTCACATCTAACACCTACTCCCTCCAAAGGGCAGAAAAAGGCTTGGACATAAAAACAAATAGTTAGAAATAGGAACGTTTCAGTGATCATTAACATTGAAGGTGCTTATTTGCTCTTGTCTTCAGTGGCATGTGTGTTTCAGGGTAGATTAGTATTGCCGAAGGAACATTTACCAGCCATGTGACCTCAAATTTCCTGTGTCTTGCGGCATCGGTTTCTTCAGCTCCTGTAAAATGCAGGAATTGATTTAGATGATCTTGAGTTCTATTTCTAAAATCCTGAGAGTCCCTGAGATTTTGCTTCCTTGTTGAAATCTATGGTTAAGGATTTCTGGTTTCTTGTCCTTAAAATTTTTACTATTGCAGTAGAAAATGAAGATAGGCAAACAAAGATCATTTTCTTTAAGAAGAGTTTTATGAGAGATTATTTAAATTACCTTCATGAGACAGTACCATGTTTCTCTTTAGTTGATCTAAATAGATGGAGCTGGGTTTCTGTTCAAATCCTCTTTTTTTTCTAATAGGTTCACATTTTTAGAAGCTATTGCTTTATTTTAATTATTATATTTTAAATTTCTAAATTTGTATCAATTCTGATAATCATCTCAATTAGAGTTCATGTTAAGATAGCATAGAATCAAAACTTTAAAAAGTTCAAATTGGTTTCTTAGTAGTTTTGATATGATCAAAACTCCTATGTAGTAGTCTAATGTGATAGAAATTTATGTAGGGTATGCCTTTTCTCCTACATTTTTATAGCTAATGTGTCAAGAACACTTGTAAGATTTTTAAATGACCTGAGCTTGAATAGGAGAGAAAACAGTGTGCTTGACTATATATATATCTTCATGCTCTTCTGATAAATTCTTGAAGATGCCAGTCTATGCCTAGAGTTAATTTCTCATGGCTTTCAGACATGCATGTCCAGTGATCTTGGCAAATAATCTGGAGTCTAATTGTGGACTTTTCATGGATTTCACATGATGGTTATTTTTTAGAGCTTCAGAAAATTTCTACTTTTTCTTGACTTCATTTTGACTGTTTCTCCCTGTTGATAATGCTGTTTGGAAACTGATTGTAGTGGTATTGGTGAATAAAAGAAAAAATAGAAAATTAATATAAAAAATGTTTAAAGTGTGTTAATTTTCTATTTTTTTCTGCCCTGATTTAGATTTTAGATCAGATACTATAACTTGCTAGCTAAGGCTGGGTCTTCCTAAGTGTAGCTTTGGGATTTTACTCAGTTTGATCAGTACTGCAATCAGAAAATTCACAAGCACTTCTCACCTTGTGTAAATGTGACTTATTTTGTTTTTTTACATTTTGAGAAAGAAAACCTAAACATGATCATTTCTATTTCTGAACTTGCTATTAGAGATGGGTCATCCTGCTGAAAGCTTAATACTTAAACTGAAAATACTTTAACAGCATGGCTCATCACAGATAGTAATGTTCAATGACTAGTTTATTAAAATATTTTTCAGATACAAAGCTCTATTTTGCACAGGGTGAGAATCTTAGGAAATTTTCTGATCGCTTTATATTTTTATTTTTATTTTTTTTAAAGCTGTGTTATTTTTTAGTTCTTCATGCTTTGGAAGTAACAGTTGAAGAGAGGTGAGGAAAGTTTGTGAAAATTGTGATCGGTGATTAGCTGCCACCTGCCTGAGGTGTCTTCTGAGAGGAACTAACCTCTTTGTGGTGCTAGAGCAAGGTCACTGGATTAAAAAAAGAACAGGTAACCATCTTATTCCTTGTCTGAAAAGTTCTGTTTTAAAATTAATAAATGCAAAATGTTCAAGGTAAAATGAACTATTGTTTAAAGGAAGTTTTTAATTTTCTCCTCAGAAACTAGTAAAGTGGACTATGTCCTTTTTCAAGCTGCCACAGCCATAATGGAAGCAGTTGTCCGAGAGTGGATTCTCTTGGAAAAAGGTAGCATCGAGTCTCTGCGAACATTCCTTTTAACCTATGTCTTACAAAGGCCCAAGTAAGTACATGGAGGGGTACTGCTGAAATACTTTTGGGGAGCTTCTGTGTATCTCTTCAGAATTGTTTTTGGTTTGCATTTTAAAAACTTCTGGCTGGGTATAGTTGTTCAGAACTGTAATCTCAGCATTTTGGGAAGCCGAGAGGGAGCCCAAGAGTTTGCGATCAGTCTGGGCAACATAGTGAGGCTCCATCTCTACAAAGTACAAAAAAAGAAAAAAAATTTAAAAAGCTATAGATGTTTAAGGTTAAGTTCTGTGTGTGGCTCGTATTTTAAACACTTGACATAATTGTAGGTCGCTTTAGTGCTTAATGAAATAATACTTTTTAGTTAAGTTTATGATACTATGTTTTGTTTCTTTGAAAAGGTTGTGCCGGAAATTATGTTTTGTTGTTGTTGAGTTCTGAAGAATTGAGTTATAAATAAAAGTTGACCTTAGATTTAGATGAAGAACCTTTATATTTGCTTCTTCTTTTGATGCTTAGTAGTGGTGATTATTTATTTTAATGTGTTTTAAATTAAAAATGGTTTTAGTATAATACAGGTGAGTATCCTAAAACAGGGAGCAGGAGGATGCTAAGTACCACTAACAAATCAAATGTTACATATGTATGTGTGTAGAAATGTGAGTAGAGGGCTGAGTGCGGTGGCTGTGATCCTAGCACTTTGGGAGTCCGCAGTAGGCGGATCACCAGGTCAAGAGATTGAGACCAGCCTGGCCAACATGGTGAAACCCTGTTTCTATGGAAAATACAAAAATTAGCTGGGTATGGTGGTGCGCACCTGAAGTCCCAGCCACTCGGGAGGCTGAGGCAGGAGCATCGTTTGAACCTGGGAGGCAGAGGTTTCACTGAGCCAAGATCACACCACTGCACTCCAGCCTGATGACAGAGCGAGACTCTGTCTTGAAAAAAACAATATGCATGGGAAAGGCTCTCTAAGAAGTTCCAAAATCTTTAAGTAGCTTCCATTGAAAGTAGGATCAGGTTTGAGGAATGGGGTGAAAGTAAATTTTCTTTTTATATTATACATATCTGTATGGCTTATGCATGTCACAAAATGTTTTACGTTGATTTCTTGAGTGTTTTGTTTTTTTTTTTAAATATGAGGGCGGGTGCGTTGGCTCTTGCCTGTAATTCCAGGACTTTGGGAGGCTGAGGCGGCTGAATCATTTGAGGTCAAGGGCTCAAGACCAGCCTGGCCATGTGGTAAAACCCTAGCTCTACTAAAAATACAAAAATTGGCCAGGCGTGGTAGTGCATGTGTGTAGTGCCAGCTACTTGGGAGGCTGAAGCAGGAGAATCACTTGAACCTGGGAGGTGGAGGTTGCAGTAGCTGACAGAGTGGGACTTTGTCTCAAAAAAAAAAAAAAAAAAAAAAAAAAAAAAAAAAAAAAAAAAAGCCGGGCGCGGTGGCTCAAGCCTGTAATCCCAGCACTTTGGGAGGCCGAGGCGGGTGGATCACAAGGTCGAGAGATCGAGACCAACCTGGTCAACATGGTGAAACCCCGTCTCTACTAAAAATACAAAAAATTAGCTGGGCATGGTGGTGCGTGCCTGTAATCCCAGCTACTCAGGAGGCTGAGGCAGGAGAATTGCCTGAACCCAGGAGGCGGAGGTTGCGGTGAGCCGAGATCGCGCCATTGCACTCCAGCCTGGGTAACAAGAGCGAAACTCCGTCTCAAAAAAAAAAAAAAAAAAAAAAAAAAAGGAAAACTATAACTACATAGCTTTTGGGGAGAAATTGATTTACTATTTACCTTTTTTCATTAAGTTCCCCAAAGACCATGTATTCTTTTAAGAATAGACAATGCCCTTGTATGTTTACTGTTTGTGCAATTGATACTGTAGATGTTCATTTCCAGAGTCATTGAAGAAAACATTTTGTTATGTAATCAGAAATATGTGTGCTTAGGAATGGTGATTAATGGCAATAAGTATATACATACAGTTTTAATTTTAGAGCATACTGTCATGCATTTGTTTCTGTTGACTGTATCCTGGCAGTCTTAGTTAATAATATTTAATAATATCTGACATGACTTCCACACTTTGTTAACTGCCAACTGCCTTACATACCAAAAAAAAAAAAAAAAAAAAATGCGTAAGAGAACGAAGGCAAGGTTTCTGTAGCCTATTAGCATTGCAGGTTTAGTGGATGATGTGTCCTGTAGATAAGTGGATATACATGTTTGTGAGGAGGGCATGGGTAGTTTTTTTCCGGTTATTCTTAGAGTAACGAGGACTTGTTCCTGGCTTGAAACCTTTCTTTTCTCTGTCATGCTGGATTGATTGGTTGATTTTTGTTTGGCGGGTCCATTTGGATGTGATACTAGTTTGCCTTTTTGTGTTTTTTATTTGACTGTACTTGTTAGATCTGATAGGGCTGTTTTTCTTTTGACCCCTCTGTACCGAAAGAAAGGTAAGTAGAGGTGAGTAGAGGTCTTGACAACATCAGCAAATGTTTGTTCCGTTATTTTGTTCATTGTTTTGCATGCAGTGTAACTCAGACACATCAAAATTTGTATTATCAATTGCAACCATGGAAGAGGTTTGTGTTTTGTTGAATTCTACTAAAATGATACTTGTTTTGATGTTTTTCTTTACCCTACTAAAATATTTTGAAATCAATTGTGATAGTATACTTATTATTGAACACAAGTTGAGAAACCTTCAGATTTATTTATATTTATGTAATAAAGAAAATAAGCCTTAGGGCCTCTGTGTTTATAGTAGTTTATATGTGGGAAGGTTAAAAAAGTTATTTTTGGCATCTAGGCCTAAAATGTCAGTTTTCTGAAGAGCAATCTATTTATGTGACCTTGGGAAAGTAACGTAAAGTCTTTTCTTAAATATTCTGTTTTAGCTGTAGAACAGGGACTCATGGTTGCAGTACCCATCTCATAAGGTTGGTGTTAGGATTACATGAGACAGTTCAGCACAGTGCCTGGGGGGCAGTAAAAGCTCTGGCTGCTGCAGCCGTCATCATCTGGACCAGCCTTCCTTAAGGAGTCAGGGCCAGCAGGGGAGCTTCTGGCCAACTAGACAGGTTTTCTTTTCTGGAGCTGCTGAGTTATCCCCAACCGGAGAACCACTGAACTCTGGAGACTGTGGTAGACTTAAATGTGTAACAGATTTTCATTATGTGTATGTGTGTGGTCTCTTGTATTATCCAAAATAATCTCATTCTTTTTTTTTCCCTTTTAATTTTTTTAAATTGAGACAGGGTCTTGCTGTGTTGCCCAGGCTGGTCTTGAACTCCTGAGCTCAAGCAATCCTCCTGCCTCATTCTCCCAAAGTGCTGGGATTACAGGAATGAGCCACCATGCCTGGCCCAAAATAATCTCATTTTAAAAATCATTGATTAATTTAGAAGCTAAATTAATTAGCTTGATTGTAGGGTTCCACATTGAAATAGCTTATATATATATATATATATATATATATATATATATATATATATGAAATAGCTTATACATATATATACATACATATATTCCCTGCCCCCCTCAAGATGGAGTCTTGCTCTGTCACCCAGGCTGGAGTACAATGGCGTGATCTTGACTCACTGTAACCTCTGCCTCCCAGGTTCAAGCGATTCTCCTGCCTCAGCCTCCTGAGTAGCTGAGAATACAGGCATGTACCACCACGCCCAGCTAATTTTTGTATTTTTAGTAGAAATGGGGTTTCACCATGTTGGTCAAGCTGGTTTTGAACTCCTGACCTTGTAATCTGCCTGCCTCAGCCTCCCAAAGTGCTGGGATTACAGGAAACTTTTTTTTTAAGAGACAGAGTCTCACTGTGTTGCCCAGGCTGGAGTGCAATGGTAAACTTTGAGCAAAGGTGAAAGAATTGTCTGGTGACACACAACCCTTTTTCCAGTAGAGGCTCAGTTAACATTTTGTCACATTTGATTTGTCTCTTATGTATATATGCATTTTTTTACCCCTAACTATCTGAGCGTGCCACAGACATAATGATACTTTAGCCTTAAAGTCCTTGAACCTGTCTCTTCTGAAAGTATAGTCTCAATACTCCTGATATAATTGGTACGTTTATATGAGCTAGTAATTCTGATTCCATATTCTGAGTTTCCCAATTGCCTGAATAAGATTTATATCCTTTTTCCTTTTTGTAGTTTTTTTTTTTTTGTATTGCAGTCTGTCACTTCAGATCAATTAATATTTGCTTTATTTAGGTACAGTAGGTTTTTTTTTTTAATACAGGTGACCCAGAGATTATATTATATTTAGTTGTCATGTCTCTTTTGTCTCTTTTAATCTAGAATTATTGTGTGCTCTTTTTTGCCTTTAATGACACAGATATTTGTATCTTGTAGAACGCCCTACGGTGTGGATTAGAGTCAAGTTAAATGTTTTTGGCATACTGCACAGGTAGAATACTATACGCTATGTAACAGACAATTACATAAATAATGTTGTGTGCTTCCCATGGCATGCACAGAATTTTTTTTCTTTTTTCTTCCTCTTAACTGAAATAAAATTTGTATAGAATGAAATGCACAATGCCCTTTATTAAAGAGCCAAGTGTAGCATAGTGGTCAAGAAAGGGATTTGCATCTCACATCTGCCACTTAACTCTGCAACATTGGGCAGATTACTTCTTTGTGCCTTAATTTTCTGATTTGATTTTTTTTTTTTTTTTTTTTTTGAGACTGAGTTTCGCCCTTGTTACCCAGGCTGGAGTGCAATGGCGCGATCTCGGCTCACCGCAACCTCCGCCTCCTGGGCTCAGGCAATTCTCCTTCCTCAGCCTCCTGAGTAGCTGGGATTACAGGCACGTGCCACCATGCCCAGCTAATTTTTTGCACTTTTAGTAGAGACGGGGTTTCACCATGTTGACCAGGATGGTCTCGATCTCTCGACCTCGTGATCCACCTGCCTCGGCCTCCCAAAGTGCTGGGATTACAGGCTTGAGCCACCGCGCCCGGCCTGATTTGATTTTTAAATGGAGTGAATAATAGTAGTAGTATTATAAGGATTAGCTGTGTTAATATTTGTGAAATTAGTTCACATAAATTCTTGCATATCAGAAGCATTCAGTAAATGGTAGCTATTTTTTATACTAATGGTTTCTAATTCTTGCCAATAGAGATATTTAAAACTAGCTTTGTGTACATTTGTAGTCATAGTCTTCAGCTTTATATACGTTTTCTAGTAGAAGTAGGTGCCTATGAAACTCTTCTGTATCCCTAAAAGTACAAAAATTCCCTTTGACCAACTAATATTCTTATGCCTAGTAGGATCTCTGCGTTTATTTGCTTAATGAATGAAAGATGACTTGTTCAAGTCTATATTTGGAAGGAATGTTTTTTCACTTTAGTCTCGACAATAGGGAGACACATTTATTCATCTGTATAAATACCAAATAAAGGCTTATTCTGTTGGAGGCAGTGTGCTAGTGTGCTTAGAATGGGTGGCTGATCCGGGAGCCAGTGAACAGTGGTAACAGATATGTCACGTCATGTGAGGGTGCTGTGGGAACCCCTAATAACAACTTTCTGGAGAAAGTGACATCACAATCTTGGTAGAGGGAATAGAAGTTCAGAGGCCTGAAACTGCAAGAGTGTTCAGTGAGGAACTGAAAGGTCGATGTATCTGCAGTTGTGAGTGCATGTGGAAGGGCCGAGGTCAAGGAGAGGAGTAGCAACCAGGTGGCTATAGGTGGATGTCCAAACTGGGACACTTTTGACAGTGAAATAAAGAACTATTAATAATTACCTGGAGCAACAGATAAATTGAGGCTGTCCTAGGAAAGTTAGAATGGTTCCTACTGCTTATAAGCCATGTTAAGAGGTTTGGGTTTGTTCCAGGGGCACATGGTGGTTGTATCTTTGCGGTATTCTAGAGACTAGATTATAAAGTTTGGGGTTATGTTTTTTGATCCTTATCTTTCAGAAAAGATTGTGAAAAGTTTCTGTGCCCTCCTGGTCAAATGGGTTTGGTAGAATGCCTGCATTTCAGATGGGTGCTTCTATCATCACATGGAGGAGCAGAACCTAGATATGAACATTCTGAGCGTGTGTGTGTGTGTGTGTGTGTGTGTGTGTGTGTGTGTGTGTATGTGTGTTTTACAATTTTATGTTTCCATAATGATGTATTTTGGATAGCTAGCATGTTGCCTTTTCACATTAAAGGGAAATGGGATTTAGGATTAGATTAGTGGTTGTAGATGTAGGTTAGACAGAATTTATCTCAAAACTAGTGGAATTTTAATCTTAGTGATTCTTTTTTCCCTACAAATATTTAACAGGGAGCTGACTTACATCTATTGGAATATTGCCTGACGCAAATAATACTCGTATAGTGCTTAGTATGTACTGGGCACAATTCTAGGAACATTTAACCCTTATAATAACACTAGTAGTGTTACTGCCATTTTACAGATGAGAAAACCAAGGCCCTGAATGCTAACTGTCTTCCCCAGGGTCATACAGCCAGTCCACAATGGAGCCTGGGATTGAACCCCCAGACTTCCTGACTTTGGAGTCTGGACATAACCATTTGGCTTTACTACCCTCACGTGCCAGCAATGTTTTCAGTAGTGTCAGGCATAGAGAGGAGTTGGGAGTATTCTTGTGTTAGATTTAGGTAAATGTTTTCACAATGATTTTTATGTTTTACAGCCTTCAAAAGTATGTTCGGGAACAGATTCTACTAGCAGTAGCAGTAATTGTAAAAAGAGGATCATTAGATAAATCAATTGACTGCAAAAGCATTTTTCATGAAGTCAGCCAGTTGATAAGTAGTGGCAATCCCACTGTGGTAAGTGTGCTATTTGTATTTATAAATATTAACAATTTATATTTTCTGTTACACAAATAGCATTATAGCAAGAGTAATGGATACCTACCTAAAAGGAAAAGTGAAAAAGCTATCAGTCAAGCAATTTTCATTTGTTCAGCTTTGCTTCTAGTCTTTTTCAATATATGTACATAATATAGATGTGATATACTTTGCTTTTGCATTTGATTGTGTATTTTCCATGTTTCCATAAATATAATCATTTTGTCATAAAATATTATAATTTAATATACCATAATATTCTATATACCAAATAATATAAGCTTTGTTCATGAGATGCTGATGCTTCAGCAATGCCTACATGAGTTACATAATGGTAATCTTGTCATTTCTGTGAATTTTGTTAGAATTTGATTCCAAACTAATGGCCATGTGTATTATCCAGTGGTGGTCATCATCAGTAGTCTGGGGAAAAAGAAGTGGTGGATATACATAGGTAAAACTAGCAGAGAAAAGGTTTGCAACTGAGGCTGCTACTTGGAAATATTATCCTTGTCCCTAATGCTCTGAATCAAGTTGCACTTCATATTTTAGATTTCACTTAAGAACATCTTGTTTCATTTTGATGGTCTGCAGTGAGTCCAACTCATTGTGATAGACAGGATTTAAACTTGAGGAACATTATGAGTAACTTTGATATCTATCTATTTATGACTCATACCTTTCCCTTGTTAGTCTGGTGATCATTCCAGCCGGGATTTTGGTATTGGGGTAGAATTTCTGCAGCCTGCCCTACGAATAGCTTGTTGATACTGGGATGGTGAAGGCAAAGGTTCGAGAGTCCCTTGCCTCTCTCAGGAATGAGCACATACTAGTGAATTGAGTTCTCTGCTTCCTTTCCCCTTGGTTAATTTGACTCAACACAAAAATTAGTCCCACTGCAACCTGACAATTGGATTTTTTTGAGCCACTGAAATAACTGATCTTCTGAGAATGATTGGAACAGATTTCGCTGTTGTTCACTTAGAGAAGATTTTGCTCAGGCTGGGCATGGTGGCTCATGCCTGTAATCCTAGCACTTTGGGAGGCCTAGGTGGGTGGATCACTTGAGGTCAGGAGTTCAAGACCAGCCTGGCCATCACGGTGAAACCCCATCTTAAAAAAAAAAAAAAAAAGAAAAAAAAAAAGAAAAGAAAAAGATTTTTGCTCTCTTCATAGTGTGTACATTTTGAGAAAAGAGATAAATGTAATATTCTCTCTCTCTCTCTTTTTTTTTTTTTTTTTTTGAGACGGAGTTTGGCTCTTGTTACCCAGGCTGGAGCGCAATGGCGCGATCTCGGCTCACTGCAACCTCTGCCTCCTGAGTTCAAGCAATTCTCCTGCCTCAGCCTCCTGAGTAGTTGGGATTACAGGCATGTGCCACCATACCCAGCTAAGTTTTTGTATTTTTAGTAGAGATGGGGTTTCACCATGTTGACTGGGATGGTCTCGATCGCTTGACCTCGTGATCCACCCGCCTCGGCCTCCCAAAGTGCTGGGATTACAGGCTTGAGCCACTGCACCTGGCCAAATGTAATATTCTCATGAAAGACTCCAGAGTTTTTTTTTTTAACGTCAAATTTCTTTCTTTCTGTGTTTTTTGTTTTGTTTTGTTTTGTTTTGTTTTGTTTTTGAGACTGGGTTTCACTCTATTGCCTAGCCTGGAGTGCAGTGGCGCAATCTTGGCTTACTGCAGCCTTGACCTCCCCACACTCAAGTGGTTCTCCCACGTCAGCCTCTAGAGTAGCTGGGACTGCAGGTGCACACCACCATGCTGAGCTGATTTTTTCGTATTTTTGTGGAGACAGGGTTTTGCTATTTTGCTCAGGCTGGTCTCCAACTCTCAGGCTCAAGAAATCTACCCGCCTTTGCCTCCCAAAGATTATAGGTTTGAGCCATTATGCCTGGCCAAAAGTCAAATTTCTAATACCAGGGCTGAGAACTACTATAGCAGCAGGAAATCAGTAGTGGGAAATAGAATGTAATTTCAGGATTGTGGCGTGAATTTATCTTGTTGACTACATTAAAAACATTAAATGTGAAAAAATACTGTCTACTTTATAAGACAGGTTAAATGCATACACTGTCCCTGCTTGTCCTTGCCCAGTAGCTTGAAAGTAGCTCATTAGGAAGGCCTAAAAAATGAGGTTAAGACATTTTCATATATCTTCCTACTTGGACTGTTAAGAATTTGTAAATGGGGCTGGGTGCAGTGGCTCACGCCTGTTATCCCAGCACTTTGGGAGACCCATGTGTATGGATCATGAGGTCAGGAGATCAAGACCATCCTAACATGGTGAAATGCCGTCTGTACTAAAAATACAACAGGTTAGCTGGGCTTGGTGGCCTGCGCCTGTAATCCCAGCTACTCTCAAGGCTGAGGCAGGAGAATTGCTTGAATCTAGGGGGCGGAGGTTGCAGTGAGCCGAAATCTTGTCACTGCAATCCAGCCTGGGCCACAGAATGAGACTCTGTCTAAAAAAAAAAAAAAAAAAAAAAAAAAATTTATAAGTGCTTCAAGAATTTACTTAAGATTTTCTTAGTCTCAGACATAAATGGCAATGAACAAGAGGATTAAAACCTCTGTAAGAAAGGAGAATGATAAATGATCAGAACATTGATTTAGTACTGGCTAGAAACTTTCTTTATAAAGGTGATTTGTAAGAGAGATTTGTAAAGTAGAGAAAATTAAAGGTTTTCTGTAGATGAAGAAAGGGTTGACTTCGTGAACTATTAAATTAGGTAACTAATTTTTCTTTCATACCTCTTCTAGGAAGACATTTCCATCTACCTTCATTGGCCAAATACTGTCTGTATGTAATCTGGCTTTTCCCCCTTCGCTTTCAAAGAGTATTGGTTTCGTTTGTTTGTTTTGTTGTTTTAGAAACAGAATCTCACTCTGTTGCCCAGGCTGAAGTGCAGTGACATGTTCATACCTCACTGCCACCTTGATCACCTGGACTCAAGTGATCCTCCCACCTCAACTTCCTGAGTAGCTGGGACTGTAGGTGCATGCCACTGTACCTGGCTAATTAAAAAAAATTTTTTGTAAAGGTGGGGTTTCACTGTGTTGCCCAGGCTGTCTTAAGCTCCTGACCTCAAGGTGATCCTCCTCCAGTCTCAGCCTCCCAAAATGTTGGGATTATAGGTGTGAGCCACCACACTTAGCCAAGAATTGATTTTTTGGGAGGCCGAGGCGGGTGGATCACGAGGTCAAGAGATCGAGACCATCCTGGTCAACATGGTGAAACCCCGTCTCTACTAAAAGTGCAAAAAATTAGCTGGGCATGGTGGCACGTGCCTGTAATCCCAACTACTCAGGAGGCTGAGGCAGGAGAATTGCCTGAGCCCGGGAGGCGGAGGTTGCGGTGAGCCGAGATCGCGCCATTGCACTCCAGCCTGGGTAACAAGGGCGAAACTCTGTCTCAAAAAAAAAAAAAGAATTGATTTTTGATGGTCCATTTCACTGTACTAGTCTTACATTTGCAGTTATACAGATTTAGGGGCAGTGTAGTATAATAGACAGTGATTTTGGATTCACCCTTGGGTTTAAATCCCAGCTCTGCCATTTATCGCCAACTTAATTTAAATTAACTTCTCTAGGCATTAGTTCCCTAAGATGTAAAATAAATGTGGTAATATTCACTTCTATTCAGCAAGAATTTGTACTGTCTCCCTAGTAGCCTCTCACTGCTTTCTTCATAGTATCTTGGGAAGTGAACTATAGTGAATCATCTCGTTTTCTATCAAACAACATTTTAGGCAGGGGAAAGCAGAAGAAAATGTTTATGTGTTATCTGTGAATGAAAACTAATCATTTGTGTGTGTTTTTGTTGTTGTTGTTGTTGTTGTTTTTGAGACAAAGTCTTGCTCTGCCGCCCAGGCTGGAGTACATTGGCACCATCTCAGCTTACTACAGCCTCTGCCTCCGGGGTTCAAGCAATTATCTTGCCTCAGTCATCTGAATAGCTGGGACTACAAGCGCATGCTACCATGCCAGCTAATTTTCTTATTTTTAGTAGAGACAGGGTTTTGCCGTGTTGGCCAGGCTGGTTTTGAACTCCTGGCCTCAAGTGATCGGCTCACTTCAGCTTTCCAAAGTGCTGGGATAACAGGCATGAGCCACCATACTCAGCCAATTCATGCGTATTTTTTAAAAATACAGGTAACCAACACCTTAGGTTTTCTTTAAATGCTTTCAGAAGTATCTTATAGACTTGGTTCTCTGCAGATAGTTTTATGGAAGGATTATATCTAATTTGTATTTTAAAAATGATGTATTCTTAGTTAATTCATGCTCGTATGATTATTAAATAATATGTTACTTCGTGCCTATGGGCAGTTACGATGTTTTCCTTCCATGATTGTAAAGCTTACCATGGCTATTTCATCTCAGTTTGCAGTATAGTTGGACCTGCTGTTAATACTAATTTGGAGGGGGTATGGAAACTTGCTTTCCTAGGAAAGTAGCAAATTTTTTTATTTTAAGCTAAAATTTTAATATAGTTCGTATTTGTCTTATTTCCTTTGAAAGTGGTGGGCATACATTAAATCACTTTTAAAGCCGTTTAATATAGCATTTAAGTCTCCTTTCTTCCTCTTTGCCATGCTAGAGAGAAGTGGGTGAGAAATTCACTTGTCTATGGCAGTCTCTGGATGTGATAGCCAAGTTAATCTCTCTTATCATAAGTCTCATTGATGTTTGCATAGAAGAGCAGCTGGAAGTCTGCTTTATGTATGGCAACCTTTCATAAAGTTTATTCTTGGTAATAAGGCTCCTGGGGTAAGAGCCAGGCTATTATAAGAGACAATCCTCTCTCTGAACAAGAGTATTTTATTTTGTCAGCTGGAGTTAGTGTTTGAGTATCTTGGGCTTGTGACAGTAAGCTGGTGAGTAAGGCAAGCTATCTTTGAAGGGCATTTTTTCACTAGCTTGAAATTAATGGCTTTTGCTAGAAATAAATGAGAATGCTGCTGTAAGA